ATGTGCCAAGCACTGTTTCAGGTTCTGAGAATACAGTGGTGAACATGAACACATAATCTTTGTGCTAAAAGAATTCATATTCTAAAAAGTTTTGCAAATCAGTGCAATGAAGGGAAACAAACCTGAGTGGGAATGGTCGGGAATGAGAGAAAAGAGAGGGGAGATAGGATGGGATTGGGAGGGCTGGAAAGCTGTAGCCAGCACCAAAATACAAAATCAGCTTTCTTTTATAGTATCTCAGCAGGGTTGCTTCTGGGGAAGTAGCCTGGACAAAGACTATATTTTTGGTCTTACAGTATGATTGGAAAAATGTAAATAACTTTATCAAGAGCAATTCATTCTGTTGACGGTTTCTACTGCAAAACATTGTTAATATATGTTAAAGATAAGAAACAAAAGGGAAGGGTCTCACAGTTTTCTGCATAGTTTCTAAGGATTAACTAGGTAAAGAAAAAGATACATGACTTCTGGCAAAACAGCTGTGAAGGAGAAAAACATGTTGTTTTAAGAGGAGGAAAAACATGTTGACTCAGCAGGAGAAAGGCAGTTGGGAGATCCTTCCCTGAATATCTCCCAGGCTGTGGGGCCCTGCCACCTCATGGCCCACTCTTGGCAAAAAAGATGAAACATTCAAAGTCCATTCAACAAATAGTATTTACCGAGTACATATTATAGGCTGGACACTATTCTAGATGCTTGGGACCTATCGGTGAACAAAATAAGCAAAATTCCTTGTCCTCATACAGCTTATATTTTAGTGGGAAGAGAGAGATAATAAACCATAAACATAACAAATAAGAAAATTATACAGTATATTAGAGGGTGACAGAAGAGTGGGGGTATAGAGTTGGAATTACAAGTTTTAGATGAATGATTGAGCCTCTTTAAGACACTGAAGAAGGTGAGGGAATAAACTATATGGGTATCTGAGGGGAGAACGTACTAGACAGCTGGAAGAGCCAGTGCAAAGGCCCTGAGGCAGGAGCATTCCTAGCAAAAGTAAGGACAACTAGAGTGGAGGAGACAAAGGAGAAAGGAGGATATGAAGTTACCGGGGGATGGAAAGGGCACAGACCATACATCCCATACGGCCTTGTCCAGTGAAGGGGCCACCAGTCACATCTGAAACAATTAAACATAAATATAAATATATTTCTTGCTAAGCAGAGAACAGCTGTATTTGCAAAACAGAGTATCTCTGAACAAAGAAATCTGTGGGTCTTACAAAGTGTTTTGGGAAGCATAGAGTTCAGAGGTTGGTAAACTCTCAGAAGCCAGACTGTTCATAGATGAGTTGATCTTTAGCTGTAGAAGCAGGATTGGTAAAGTGTGGCTGTTGTTGATTGCCTAATTTTCAGATGCAAGTCACCAATCATGAGATTGCCATTGATTAAAACAGATTCTGGTGGTTACTTGTCACTATGATCAAAGAACAACCAGTCTTTCCTTTGGTTCAACTTGGAATGAAGGAACTTGCCACTCTCCACCTTGCAAGGCCACTGGAAAGTCTTTGTCTTTGCCTCTGAGGGAAATGGGGGGTGATTAGAACATTCTGGAGCAAAGGAGAGACAGGACCTGACTCATATTTTCCCAGGTCCTGAAATCTTGGCTGCTGTGGTCAGGTCTGAGTGACAGGGAGACCAGTCACTGCAAGAGAGGAGATGTGACTTGAGCCACGATGGTAGTAGATGGTAGTAGCGGGGGTAATGAGAAGTGTACCTATTTTGGATATATATATTTATGGACAGCAAATAGATAAGATAATTCGATAAGACTAAGAGGTAAGTATAACACTACTTTTACAGAGAATGATACAGCTGGACATGATAAAAGAGGAACGGGGTGAGGCTACTTTAGAGGGAGAGTCAGGGAAATCTTTTGAAGATGCAAGATTTCAAAGATGAAAGGAGCTGGTGAAGATCTAAGGTGAGAGCCTGGTGTGTGGATGGGGAGCTGGAATTCAAATCGGCTCATCTAATTCTACAGTGCCATTGCTACTTACTCATCTTGCCAGTTTGGGGGCTTTCATTTGTCCTTGCTTCCCTAGTTGTCGCAAATGCTTAGATATGCTGAGAAACAGTAGGAGCTCTGTAAATAAAACGCCCCCATCTGGGATGGTGGCAGCCACGGGAAGTTCGACTTGGGACTGCAGTCAGGAAAAGACAGCGAAGGAGCCTGGATACACTTGGACAGAACGAGCCACGGATTCATGTAGCCAAAATGTCATCTGCTTGGGAAAAGCCACCTGTTAACTCGCAAGTACTTTGGGGGCGGAGGAGGGAAAATGCACCATCTTACTAAGTTCAGGAGTTCAGAGGGAAGGCTGGCTGGACTGACCAACATGTTAAACACGAAGAGGAAGGGGGCTGTATCTTTAGACGAAACCTGAAAACTACCACCCGAAATCAGTGTTCAGGTGAGAGGGAGCGTTGTACATCTGGCAACGTTAACTAGAACAAAAGGAAATCACGTGCCGAAGGGGTTCTAGGAGGTATCCGCCGCTCAGACCCTCGCGGTAGCTTGGTTGTCGCCTCGGGCGACGGCTTCTGTCCTTGGTTTCCCCTTCTAAAAAAATCTGGGCACAGGCAGGTTGATCTCCCGCTGGTGAGACATTCCACGTGGGGAGGGCGGGGATTGAAAGGGAGGGAGGACTGAAAAATCACACGCTTCACAGAGGCCGGGGTAAACACCGCGGGCCCTTAAGAGGAAAGCCCGTGTAGACCGTCACCTTCACCCTAGAAGCCTGTCCGGAGCCAGGCGCTGGACCTACCGCGGAGCATGGAGCCCCACCGCCCGCCTAACGCAGCCGCTGCAGATCCCGCCGCTCCGCAGCTTCAGCCTTTGGTTCTCGGACCGCGGGGCGGAGTCCGGGGGCGGGACCTGGGCGTGGCTGGGCCCGGGGCGTGGCCGCGGCGGGCGGGCGCGCGGGCGGCGCGGAGGGAGGGTGTCGCGCTGAGGGAAGCGGCCCGCGGCGGAGGGAGGGGAGGCCGAGTGCTGGAAGCGGAGCTCCGCGCTGGGACTGGTTCCTTCGCAGCCATTTTCTGTCCAACCAAACAGCCGATTGGAGACGGGAGCCAACCAGGGCTGCATTGGAGGTTTGTGTCTCGCTTCGGCCAATGATCGCTCCTAAACCGACTCCACTTTAGCTCGAATGAAATGTCCGTCTCCTCCCGGCGCCGTCCCCGCCGCCAACGCCGCCGCGGCCGGGGGCACTCGCCTCCCTCCCGCTCGCCCGCCCTCTCGCCCGGGCCGGGGCCGGCGCCCGCGAGGCCGCTCCCGCTGCGGGCCGGGCCGGGCCGGGGAGCGGGCGCGGGGCCGCGGCGCGGCTCTTTGTGCGCCGGGCCGAGGGAGCGGTGGGACGCGGGCCAGGCCGCCTCCCGCTCGCTGCCGTTGAGTTCCGGGCCCGCGGCCGAGGAGGGTCTGCGGGGCGCCGTCGGGGCCCCCCTCGGCGGCGCCCGGGGTCGGCTCCATTTTGTGCGGGGAGCCAGCCGGAGCCCCAGGGACGCGGCCCGGGCCTGTGTCCCCGGCCCCGGCCGTGCCCCCTCGGCCTCGGCCGCCGCGCGGGTCCCCGGGGCACCCCCTCCCGCGGGGCCGCGGCGGGGCCCGGCCGCTTTGTCTGCCCGCGCACCCCGGGCGGGAGGCGGGCGTTGGGCGCGGGGGCCGGGGTCGGCCGGGCGAGTCGGGGATGCGCGCCAGGGGCGTCCGCCCCGCACTCACGGGACTGACAGGTCGGCCGAACCGGGCCGTGGGGCCGGGGCCACCCCAGGCACCTGCGTGGGGAGGAAGCGAGGTCCCCCCGGAGGAAGAAATGGCTTTGGTTTCCCCGCTGTCTGGTTTACACGTAAAGAATGCAGCCATCTGGCGGCTTGCGGTCCCTGGACTTGCCCCGAAGGTGGGAAGGAAGCCTTAGGGATTGGACTAAGGTTTTAATCATCCGTGGTTGGAGGCGGGAGGATATCTAGGGCCTTAAGAATAATAGTCTCCAAGAACAAAGAATTATAGAGCACTCACAACTCGTAATCTCACCCAGAGTACTCTAACGAGGTAATTTAAACAAGGTTAGATAGCATGCGACCTTTTAAAAAAATGGCATCCCACAACCCGCATGGGTTCCATAGTTGCGAGGTTCGTGCCACAAATCACAGGGTGGTTTCAGCTCTCTTAGTATGGAAACTAATCAACATGAAGTGATGAGGTAAACTGATGAATGTCAGTTGCATTAACAAATAGGGATTTTATTTGTTAAGTATTCAAAGTTTAACCGAAATTCCTTAAAAGGCAAATTATTCCCTCCCTGCACTGCTCTTGTAGCTTAAATTAAGGATTGCTGTATATTGATGCAAAACTCTGGTTGTTGATGCCAAAGAATGGAGGGTGGAGGAAGGGACTACTGCTTTTCTTGGATACAAATTTGCATTTCTTCAAACATTAAACAGATGTATGCATTCCCTTGAGTTTTTTACATATATCATAACCTGCCCTTAAGAAAATATATACCATATGAGGTGGTAGGGTTTTTCTTTAATGTACTGCATCTAAATGTATACTGAATTAACTATTTGGGTGAGTGAATGTGGTGAGGTGTGACTCCTCCGCACCCCCCTTTCAAGCAAAATACATAAATATAGCTTCTATATTTTAAGTGTTCTGAGGGCTCTTTTCCCAAAGAAACCCTGAAAAAGTAACATTTCCAGCTACAAAGAAGGACTTTTCTGGGCACTTCTTGGAAGTGGACACCATTTGAAAATTAATTAGAAATGACTTTGAATGTTAATATTAGAACAGATGTCAAGCAGTCTTTGCTGCCTGGACCTTTATAATAGCATTTGAAAAATTGAATTCAGTGGCTACAATTTTTTTTCCTGCTGCTTACTAGGTTTCATATTTGAATGGATTATCAGTATTTATTCTTCCTTTCAAATTAACCCTGAAAGGATGTGTTTTTGTTTTGTCCTTCCCCTTTCTGTCCTCTCATTTAATTGCTTCACTTGAAAAAAGGAAAAGAACAAATGAGAAATGAAGGTTGTAATATTGCAATTGATAATAATTTATTCAGCTATTTATGCCTTACATTGAGACCCAAGTGCTACTTAGATGTAATTTTGGTAGTGCTTCACAATTAAAAATAAGGGTCTTGATTTGTGTTGGGATTTTACTTTTTATGTTTTCTGGGCAGATCTTTGTAGAATCTGAGACAATTTATAAGCATCATATTCTGAGATAAAATATTCCCCCCTTTTGAGCTACAGATGCCTAAATCTCACTCTGGAACATTAAGGAAACCATCACCAAAAAAGTTGATGAGTTGTGTGTTTGTATCTTGTGTGTCACTATTTTAAGTAATTTAGATGTGTGGTTTTCAGTCTCTTGCACATTATATTCTTTGGTCTCTATCTGGATTTGGTGTATTATGATGCATATTTATGGTGAACATGACTAAACTCAGGGTTATGTTGGAAAAGCAATTTCCCTCCATGGAATTAACTTTTTTTGTAAGTTGTCAGAAGTAAGTCTTCCAATTCAACAAATATTTTGGAGGGTACCTGCCTTTATATTATTTTATACCATGCATCCATTGATTAAGGACAGTGGACAGAATTATACATGCCCCCTTTAATTTTACTGGAAAGAAAGCCTACAGGCTATCCATGTTTACAACTAATAGATGTTTGTCTTTTAGGTTGAAATTGAGCAAAGATTAGACATCTTTTTAGACAGGTGTTCGTGAGCACCACTGACAACACCATTCTGACAGTATTTCATGACAGTAAGTATGTTTTACCATTTTGATTGTTAATTAGATTTGGACAGTACTTGGCTAGAAATAAAATCGTAACTGGTTCATATTAGCGATGCCTGACAGAATGCTTTCAAGTCTGGACAGACAGTGCCTCTCTGCTCATTCCTGTTGCTTCCTTGTTGTCAGTTATGTGCATATATTAAATGTTTCTCATGGGCCTCCAAGTGCTGTTGAGTCTGCAGAGTAGAAAGCCTGTCACAGCTGTTAAGGGGCTGTCTGTGTATCTGGTAGGGCTTTACTTTGATGGAATACTTAGGGGACAGTTAGGTGGCGAATGGAAGAGGCTGACTCTAAGTGCAGTAGAGGTGGGAAAGAGTGGTGCAGTGAGCCTGAGTAGCAGGGAATGTCATGGAGGGAGCCTATAGGTCTCTATCTGAGCCTTAAAGTATGGGTGGGATTTGGGTAGGTAGAGGGTATCACTGAAAGCAAAAGCCTGGAGGGAGGCAGGAATGTGTGAGTAACTTGTGTTGAGGGGATGGGGAGGAGAGGTGCATGGTTCAAGTGGAGATTTCACTGGATAATGTAACAGATACCTCTTGGCCCATCTGCATAGTTAGTTCTGGATCTGCTACTGCTGTGTATCTGTGACCTTGGGCGTTATTATAACTCCTTAGAGCTGTGTGCTTGCTTCATACTAAAATGAAAAACTACATTTGATGATCCCTAAATAAGGTATATCATAGCACTAAGATTTTTATTAGCCTTGAAGATGGAGAAGAATATGAAACAAGTTGAATTAGGTTATGTGGGGGATCTGGTCATGTAAAGCCATAAAAGTAAGGCCTTGATTTAATGTAGGAGGCCGTTAGTCACCTTTAGGAATAGGTTCAAGAGTTACAGAAACAGTGTTGTAGTGAGATTAGTCATCAAACAATGTGTTCAGGTGGGTTAGTTACTTCCAGTAATTGAATGGAAGTAGGAAAGGGAAGGCATATCCAGGAGACGTTTGAAAGGATGTAATGGGTCAGGTAGACCTTGAAGGAATTAGAAGAACCTAAGATGATGCTGGTGTATTTAGCCTGGCAGAGTGGTAGAAGGGTAGTAGTATTCTCAATAGGATTGCAGTAGTTGAAAAGGAAGGGGAGTTTCATTTCCTAATATCTGAAGTTTACAGGGATGAGACGTGTTGTACAGGGATGGGTTGCTTGAGTGGCAGGCAAGATATTGGTTGTAGGTTTGAGATTTATGAGCACAGAAGTGACATTTAGTGAGTTCATTAAGGGAGTAAGGGACGAAAGAGAACATGATAACCTTGGGTGAAACAGTTGAGGAGGGTGAGAATAAACCAGGAAAAAATACTGCTGTGGATATCAAGAGAAGAGAGAATTCCAGGCATAAATGTGGGCCCAGTAGTAGCCAGCACAGCAAAGAACAGTTAAGTAGAATGAAGATAAGGTGGGCGGCAGCCTTTAAGAGTGGTTCAGCTACTGTGTTGGGGATAAAAAGCACCCAGCAGGGAGATGAAGTAGGAATGTAAAGGTGTATAATGACTGTCAGGGTGAGTATGGTAGCTAGACAAGGATGGGGCGGAATTAAGATTTTATGTATCTTGATGTATCTGAGTTTAATGAGGGAGGGAAACTAAGCATGTTTAAGGAAAAGTAAAGAGGCTAGGAAGGAGGAGTGAAGATAAATTAGACAGGAGGAATCCTTGGCTAATTTCTTATCCTCAAAGAGGTAAAAGAAATACGATCCAGCAAAAAAGTCAAAGGGTAAATTATGAGAGAAAGAAAACCCTGTCTGGAAAGACTGAGGACTGTATGTGAAGGGACAGTTAATAATACTAGGTTATATTTATGGAGTTCCTGTGTAGCCTACACTTTACTAGCTGCTTTTTATACAGTAACTTTCCAGAGCAACCCCATTTTAAAAATGAAGAAAAGAGGATGGTAAGTAACCTGTCCAAAGACACAGCTAGGAAGTGTGGTACCAAGCTTCAAACCCAGGCAGTCATTCCCAAGAACCCGTGCTCCTGACAGCCGTTCAGAGTGTGTTTCTTCACCATTTCACAAATACTAGCTTTGTATGAGAAGTTTCTTTTTAACATGTAACCAATAGACTTAGACTCTAATGGGGACAAATTCAAGATTTAGGCCAGCAGTTCTCAACCTGCGGGTCATGACCCTTTTGTAACAATGAAAACACATCGTGGCATTAGGAAGGTTGAGAACCACTGATTTAGGCTTGTACAGGAAAAACTATCGGGAATGAATACAGCACATTACTTGGCATCTGAGGCTTTGGATTTAATCACCTTTACTGTGTCTCCTTGGGCAAATCATTAACTTCATATACCTCAATTTTCTTACCTGCTTCACAGGGCCGTGAACATTGTGTGAGTTATTTATTTATTCATTTATTTCGAGACAAGAGTCTCACTCTGTCGCCCTGTATAGAGTGCTATGGTGTCATAGCTCATAGCAACCTCAAACTCTTAAGCTCAAGTGATCCTCCCATCTCAGCCTCCCAAGTAGTCGGGAGTACAGGTACTTGCCACAGTGCCCCACTAGTTTTTCTGTATGTAAAGATAGGGGTCCAGCTTCGGCTTTGCTCAGGCTGGTCTTAAACTCCTGAGCTCAGGCAATCTGCCTATCTCAGCCTCTCAGTGCTAAAATTATAGGCGTGAGCCACTGCATCTGGCCTACATGAGGTATTTAGAAAATTTTCAATCAGTGTAAACATTAAAGAGAACACTTTACCATATTTGTACAATAAATTGTTAGCATAATTTAAACACTTTTACATCAGAATAAAAATTTATCAGCTAAGCCAGCTGACCATTTACTTCATATAGTATTTCAGAGAACAGTACTGTCATTTCAACTAAATTCAAATAGTCATTGAAGTTAATTTTATGGCATATAACTGCTGTTTGTCCATATTTATTGATTCCCTTGGATCTAAGGGTTTATCATTTTACCCATTCTCTTGTCATTATCCTAATGCTCTTCCTTGCCTAGATGAAATGTAACACTTTAGCCTTTCTCTTGTCATACCAGGCCTGTAAGTGCCACACCTGGACATAGGGGTGTTATCAGCTAGACTCTGCCCAGTATTTCTCTTCCTTTCCCGTTCTCTGCAGTGACAGCGGTCTGTCTTCCCAGCCCCAGGAATCCCAGCGTTATGCTTGGTTCTTCCTCTTATCCTTTTCAGTTACTCACTAGGTCCTGATGGTGTTACCAACCACAAAGCTCTCTAGTTGCTCTGTTTCTCTAGATCTCCAGCACTGTCACCCTGGACCTGATGCTGGAGCGATAATCTTGCTTCAATGCCTGCCCTAACTGTAGCAGTATAGTCCTCACTAGTCTTCTGCTCTGTTCCTGCTCCCTTCTAGCCCATTTTCCATAGTTGAAAAATAGAGTGATCTTTTAAAGAAGATCTGCTTAAAATTCCTCTTTGGTTTGCTCTGGTTTACAAGACACTGCTTGACTAGCCCCTACTCAGCTTATTCCAGTCCACCAGTACTATTTCTTATTTTCTCTGCCTAGAACATTTCTTTTCCCACCTTTTTTTGCCCGACTGGTTTCTGTTAATCTCTGTCTCATTATGTCATTTCCTAAGACAGCCTTCCTTGACTGTCAGACTGGTGAAGTCCCTTTTGGAATAAGCTCACATAGCATGTAACAAAACATCTTTATTTTTCTTAATACTTGGCACTAGCAATGAGTTAATTATTTATAATTATTTAATAGCCATACACACTAAACATGTTTTGAGTGTTCCCATTGTACTATACTGTCTTTATCTGGATTATCTCCTAATCTGTATAACTGCTCTTATATAGGAGCCCTGTGAGATTAAGTCCTATTCTTATCCAACTTGCGCAAGTTCTCATGGTCAATCAGTAGTAGGGAATTCAAACTAAGGGATTTGATTCCAGAGCCTGTGCCCTGGAAGAACTAATAGGCTACGCTCCCCAGCCCCTCAGTCTGCCCCTTTAGGTTACATCTGTATTCTTTGCAAGCTGGTACAGACCTTGCTTGTGCTGTTGACAGCTGTGTGACCAGCACATAGCCTGGCCGTGATAAATATTAATTACTCACTCAGTAAATATTTGTTGGCTGGCTTACTTACAATCTGCAATCTGTTTTGTAAATTTTTTTTTTTTTTGAGACAGAGCCTCAAGCTGTCCCCCTGGGTGGAGTGCCGTGGCATTACAGCTCACAGCAACCTCCAACTCCTGGGCTCAAGCGAGTCTCCTGCCTCCGCCTCCCAAGTAGCTGGGACTACAGGCGCCTGCCACAACGCCCGGCTATTTTTTGGTTGCAGCCGTCATTGTTGTTTGGCGGGTCCGGGCTGGGGATTTGAACCTGCCACCTTAGGTGTACGTGGCTGGCGCCTTAGCCAGTTGAGCTATAGGCGCCGAGCCTGTTTTGTAAATTTTTATAGGAGGTTTTACATCTAGGGTGTATCTAGCAAGTTTTTTCTGTCATTCTTTATAGGTAGGAGAGTGCCTAGCATATTGCAAACATCAAAGATGAGGCTTCTTTATTAAATGAAAGGTTCTAAGGGCCATGGAGCTTCAAAGAAGGGAACATTGGTTTTTAGATTGCAGAATGAGATATATCAGAAAGATTCTAGAAAGACAGAACACTCGGATGAAAATCTCGAGTGGGATTTTAGTGTAGATAGAGGAGAGGAAGACAGACGGTGTGAAATGACAAGCGCTAACACTTCAGGAACCAGAGACGCATGCGGTTAGATGATGTGCGGGCCCTCTTCAAAGGACGCCAAACGCTGTCCTTAGGAGCTTTGTGGTCTTTATTTAATTCCAGCAACTCTATGAAATAATTTCATCTTCATATTTATGAGACTGAGGTTTAGAGAGGTTAATGCTCTTAGTCCAGATGGTAATCCTGCTGCTAATTCCAGTGCATGACAAGAGAACATGATTTAAACTTTTTGCCTTTAATACTTCTGTGTTATATTTAGAAATTAATTCATCTCCCAGACCCACCTGGTTATTTGAACAGTGTCCTGCTCGTCAGCGAATTTTAAAAGACTTGCTGTCCTGTGGACATTTCATTTAGAAAAGAATTTCTTTTATTGCCTCCCCTCTCAACTGCACAAAAAGCTTTGTTTCCATTTGTAGGTTTGGAAACAACCACCTTGGTCCTGCTCCTGCACCTGGATCTTCCTTAGGTCATTGTAAAAACCGATCAACTGCCAGCTATCCTAATTGATCATTCTTTCATGGCTGGTAAATTCATCAGCATGCCCATTAACGACTAATCTCCTGGCATCTTGTTAGCATTTTATATTTGGGCAGTGTTTCATGTTCACTTATGTTAGTTTAACATGGGAAGGAGGTGGTGTTATTTCCATTTTACACAGAAATGACTGGCAGAGATGCATGTTTTCAAGGGATTAGGAAGAGTCAGAATCAGGTCACTGACTTTGTTGTTTACCTCTTACAGGCTACTTAAAAGTAACAATAAATATCCTGTGCTTTCACAGATTATTAAAGGTATAGGAATTCTGTGTTCTACCCCCATTAAAACAAGTTATGGAAATGTATCCATACGTACAATTAAATTAGACACAGTAGTCAACAGATGTGTAAAAGAAATGCCATGTTATTGAAGACTTGGAAACTAGCCCAGTATTTGAATGTTAGATAAAAATCCAACATGGGGAAAAAGACATGTTACACAAGGACTAAATTTTTGCCTTTAATAACATTGTTTGTGCTGAGTCCTGCACTTTAATAAAGGATCAAGTGTCTCTTTGTTCAGCATGAAAGTATATATGAATCATGCTTAATTTTTGCTATACTTTTTATCCAGATAATGTATTTTAATTTTGTGGTTTTTTGAGACAGAGTCTCTCTTGGTTGCCCTGGGTAGAGTGCCATGTTGTCATAGCTCACAGCAACTTCAAACTCTTGCCTTGGGCTTAAGCAATCTTCTTGTCTCAACCTTCTGATTAGCTGGGACTACAGACCACAGGTGCCTGCCACAATACAATGCCTGGCTAGTTTTTCTATTTTTAATAGACTGAGGGGAAGGTCTCACTTTTGCTTAGGCTGTGCGTTTTGAATTTTTTTTTTTT